ATAGAGTGGTTTTTATAACTAACTATACTCATGTTTGTTTAATCTCTGTAACTTCCTCTTAACCACAAATATATGTCTTTATTGATTTTAGAGAAAGAGGAAGGGAGAAACATCCATGTGAAACTAATCAGTTTTTAACCTATGCCGCCATCTTCGGTTCTCCCTCTTATAGTGGTTTTTATAACTAACTATACTCATGTTTGTTTAATCTCTGTAACTTCCTCTTAACCACAAATATATGTCTTTATTGATTTTAGAGAAAGAGGAAGGGAGAAACATCCATGTGAAACTTTAATCAGTTTGCCTCCTGACTGGGGATTGAATTCGCAACCTAGGTATGTGCCCTGACCAGAAATTGAACCCATAACCTTTTGGTGTACAGGACAATGCTCCAACCAAGCCACCCGGCCAGGGCCAGAGAGGCACTTTAGCTGTCTTATGTCTTAGTCTTTATCTCCAACTCTAGTCTGTGCATGAAAAGGGGGTTCTATGGAAAGTAACCTCACAGGGTAATCTGATCATAAATTCCTAGCTGGGTAGGTCATGATGGGTAGTCATGCCCCAGGCATATAACTTAGTGAAAGGTTTTAAGCCAGCCCTGCCCATTATTTTTGTGCATCTATATGAACAGACCTTTGAAATACCAGAATACTCCTAGATGGGGGTATTAACCCTCAAGAGAACACTTAATGTTAACTATCATGTAATCTGATCCCTGCCTTGCTTTCCCCCACTTCCATGTAATCTTACTTAAATTCCCTCAATTTCAAATGTATAAACACTGCAAAATTGTTATTCTCTGGAGCATGTGAGATCTTGCTCCCTACCATATGTCATCAGCTTGGCTCAAATAAACACATAAAAATTCTCTTATAGGTTTTGATATCTCTTATGTTAACAAATCTTAATGATAATGCCTAGAGTTTTAATTGCTGTAATAAAGTTTCTCTTTAAGATAACAACTTTACAAAAATATTTAATCACCCTTCTTTTCACATCTCTTGTAGCATCTTCCAGATTTTATATCTTTTAATATTTCTCCTGAAGTATTTTCTTGAGGGCCTTTGTAAGGTAAATCTTCTGAGGTTTGTACACTTAAAAACATTTTCAGCCCTAACCGGTTTGGCTCTGTGGACAGAGCATCGGCCTGTGGACTGAAGGTCCCAGGTTCGATTCTGGTCAAGGGCATGTATCTTGGTTGCTGGCACATCCCCAGTAGGGGGGCGTGCAGGAGGCAGCTGATCCATGTTTCTCTCTCATCTATGTTTCTGGCTCTCTATCCCTCTCCCTTCCTCTCTGTAAAAAAATCAATAAAATATATTACAAAAATTTTTTTTCAAATGTTGTCTGTCACATTCTAATGCTAACTTGGCTGGATATAAAATTTTAATGTTTTTTCTTTGATACTTACATTCAATAATGCTTTTGAGAAATCTAATGTCAATTCAATTCATTCCTCTGATAATACTTTTTCTCTGTAAACTTTTAACTATTCTTTGAAACTTTTAAATTTCACTATAACCAACACTTATCTCTATATTCATATTGTGCTTGAGTTTTCTAAACAGTAATTTTCACTACCTGATATTATATATTGGTTTCTCTCTCCCCCCACCAGAATAAGGACGTAATTTTGTTCACTATTATGTGTCACACCTCGAACACTATCTGAAACAAAATTAGGGGTTCAATAACTACAGATTGAATTGTGGTTCTCTATTATTCTCTAGGCTTTGCACATTAAATTCATTTCTCAAAAAACAAAAACAAAATCTGAAGCCAAATTCTTAAATTATCACACTATGCCTTGAATCTTTGTGGTTTTTTTCCTATCTGTTCTGATAAACTTGGCAGGATCAAACAGGACAAAGGACTTTAGGCTTTTCTCTTGAGACAAGAGACTTTTTTAAGCAACTGGTTTTAAGATGTCTCTCCTTTAGGCTTATGTTTATTCTTCAGCTTTACATTAAAAGGGCCTCTACAAAATTGGGAATAGGGTGGAGGTAGGGGATGAAAGTACATGATACAACCCTCCCCCCCTTATCTAAAAAAGATCCCTGACCATATCTCCAGTTTATACTTGAAGTGGGATGAGTATAGGAAGAACAGATACAACCCCTATACACTGACTGATACACTACTGGATTTCACTAATCCCAGTGTCACCCATTATACTGCCTTCTTCCTTACCTTGAACCAAACTGCTCACATCTCAACTGTATCTGCCTATAACTTTCAGAAACTCTAAATAATTCCAATGGAATACTTTTTATTTTTTAAAAAATATATTTTATTGATTTTTTTACAGAGAGGAAGGGAGAGGGATAGAGAGCTAGAAACATCGATGAGAGAGAAACATCAACCAGCTGCCTCCTGCACATCCCCTACTGGGGATGTGCCCGCAACCAAGGTACATGCCCTTGACTGGAACCGAACCTGGAACCCTTCAGTCTGCAGGCCGACGCTCTCTCTATCCACTGAACCAAACCAGTCAGGGCCCAATGGAATACTTTTTAAAAGACCACAGCTGAAAGCACAATTTCATCTTTTATGTTGAAAGTAACATACAGTGGAGCCTTGACTTAGGAGTTTAATTCGTTCTGTGACGGAGCTTGTAACTCAAATTACTCGTATGTCAAATCAAAAAGTGAACAAGTGAGACACGTGACGCTGGGCTGATGTTGTGGCGTTCACTGTGACATTCGCTGCGCCAACTAGCGGTGGGGTATCTGAAGCTGGCTCGTAACCCAAATTTAAGCTCGCAACTCAAAGCAAAAAATCGGCCGATAGACGGCTCGTATCTCAAAAAACTCGTTAGTCGGGACACTCGTAAGTCAAATTACACATTTGCCAAGATATTTAGTGACAGAGATTGCCTACTTCTTAAAGGATTAAAACATTAAAAAGAAAACAATCTGATGTGGCACCAGAATATATATTGGTAGGTGATTTTATAAATTGGTAAAAATTTTAAGATGATGAAAAGTGTTTACTCTCTCAAAGAAAAAATATTTTGCAAAAATATTTTGATTGTGTGAAGCAGTAACCCAACACCAATAAGCAGCTCTGTACAAAATAATTTATTACAGCATTATATAGGTTGACATTGTTTTACAGTAAGTGTTTTTCTCTCAATAATTATGAATCTAAAATAGCTTAGAGTGAAAGAAAATCATATTAATTAGAACTATTTCTCTAAATAAAATCTCCCTTTTGAATTTATATTTGCCTTTAAGGGAAGTATCCATATTACAGACATATTTACACAGTTCTGCAAGAAACATATTGAATGATTCCACTACCGTTTTCTATACAAGAAGGAAATAGCTATCCTCCACAAAAATTGCCTGACAATACTGTTTTAATAATTAAACTAATAGATTAAATTCCCATTCTGCTGATATAAAAACATATTTAGTAGTCTATGTATGACGATAAGAGTAAAGATGCTTCATTATAATTTGTATTCTGCTCTATTATGCTTCCTTGAGGCATATGCCACTCAGATATAAACTATTTATTAATACACGAAGCAATTTAGCCAAGAAAGCATAATTCTTGCTTGTGGGTCTTTAAGACTGACCTAGAGATACACAATAAATTGATCAGTGAATTTCAGTGATTAAGAGGCAAACCAATCCCCACATTCTGAATCAAAAGAAATTTTCATGTATATTAAAAAATAATAAATCAGGAAAAAATTAAGAGAAAAGGGCAAACTGAAGTAAATTTTAAACTAAACCTCAATATCTGACAAAAGAAGTTCCATATTGTTTTTAACATACATATAGTTACCACTTTAAAGCTGATGTGCTTTCATTAAAAAGTAAGCAAAAAAACAATAAGACAAATCAACAAGGGATCAAACCATAGACTCTAAAACCAGGATCTAAAAAAAAATTAGAGACCGTATACACCTTAGTTTAAAATGAAATTATCATATTTATGATAAAGAAGTGACAGCACCACCATAATGCTGTTAATTCTAAAGTTTAAGAAAACTGTACAAGTATAAACAGGTCATTTTAACAGATGCTTATGTATACTGGCAGAGTCAGATAAAAAATAGAATAAGCTTACAGAATACTCCATTGAAAAAAACTATCCAACGATTTCATTTCATATCTATATTAAAATATACCCTGAAAAGAACCCTGATCTGAAGTCAGCTTTGAATCTATAGGAGCCGATTTTCTATGGGATTTCAAACTTCATTTGCCAAGACATCATAGTTGGCCATATGGTTTAGTGCCGCACTATGACTGCTGACCTCATTCACAGCAGGCAGGAAAGCAGACGTGAAAGGGAGCAGGCTGTGACAGGTCATCCTGTATTCTTCATATTGGGAATTACAGTTCCCAAAGCTTCCATCAAGAAGTGCCTCAGAAACCTTTATTAAAATCTATTGAAACAAAGGGAAATAAAAAAATTATATTTGGTTATTAATCACTTAAATCAAAAGATGCAATTTGTTCATTAACCAAGAGAAGGCCAACAAGCCCTTGTCTAAAAACTTCTTGCTATCTATACTAAGTAATCATCTCAAAAAAGGAACATTTTAAAAATCAACTCTGCAAAGCCTTAAAAAAGCAGTAAAATTCTAATACTTGAAAAAGTGAATCCCTGAAACTGTGATCACTAAAATGAAAGTGTCCTTTATTAATAACAATAGCTCCCACATATTAAGTGATTACTATGTGCCAGGCAGGCAGTAAGTACTTCAGTTTATTACTTCAGTAAACCCTTATACCAACTCTACAATGTAGCATGTTCGTCCTCATCTTCTACATGAGAAAAAGGAAGCTAAGAGATGTAACTTGCCTAATGTGATATAGCTCTTAATTAGAATTGGTATTGTGGGCAAAAGGGGCCACATGCTGACCCAACAAGCTCAGGGGAGGCCTGCATGGCAGTTTTGCAAACTCGGAGACCTAAAGTAACCACAAAGGATGGTCTGAAATTAAAGTTTAACTAAAAGCAGTTATGGTGGGCAGTTCCATCCTAGGCTAGTATCTTCACTGACAAGGTCAACCTTTACCTTAACTGAGCCTGTCTTTTTGCATCTATGATAACATACCCTTGAAATGTCTGGGTAACTCCTCTATCCACTGACCAAACCGGCCTGTGTCCATCATTTTACTTTTGATCCAATCCCAGGGGTTTCCCTGCTTTGCTTATACCTCCTTCTTGATCTGTCACCAATGAATTTCATGTAACCCACCTATGTTCCTCCTTTGATTGGAATGTATAAATACGGATGTAACCCGCCATTCTCCGGAGCACTATCTCAATTCATTGAGGTTCCGCTTCCCGGCATATGTTGACAGTTTGGCTCAAATAAACTCACAAAAATTCTTTACAGGTTTCAATGGGTTTGTTTTTTTTCCGTTAACAATATTCAAATCAAGACATAAGTCAGAAGGCCGACTCAAGAATTAAGTTGTAAAGGCATGTTTTGTTAGATCACTCAGTATCCAGTTATGGGAGGTATTAATCATGCTGTTAACCATGATTGCCTTGTGTTGGTTAAAGAAAGGACATTCTGACCAGGGTGGAAGTTGTGTGCCCCAGGCCCTGGGAGTCAACCTTGAACTAGGAAGTCAACCTTGGACCTGGGGCACAACCTTAGAACCATTCTCTTTCAAGAACTGCCTATGGGAAGATTAACCACCTTGTTGCCCAAACAATGGAGTCCCACCCCAGCCTCCTACTTCCCCATGCCTGTAATCCCTACTTCCCCAAGCAATCCTTGTCCTACCCTATATAAGCAGCTGGCTTATGGGGAGACTGCAGGGCAGATTTTTGTAGATGACCTGGTGCTCTCCCATACTGTCAACAGTACTGAAATAAATGCTCATGTGATTTTTTAAAAAATGGGAGGAAATGAGTGTGAAAAATCTTACTTTTACATTTTTATCTTTTATAGTTTCATCCAGTCTAGTGGCAATGGCGATTGCTTTCTCTTGCCTTGACTTGTCCAGAAAATACATCATTTTAGCACCTGAAATACAAAGACATTTCAAAATGAGTAAACTTCTATGGATGGCTAACATTTGATTTAATTTACATTAACCAGTGGCTTAAAATATGGTCCCAAGTATTTAATTAGCAGTGGGCTGGAACTGGTTTCCACAGCTCTCAGGAGGCAATTGTGCCATCGCTTTCCATGTCCCATTCAGTGACATTCCACTCATAGTTGGGGACACAGAGATGGTTGCTAAACATTTACCAGGAGACCAGATTTAATACCCCCCCCCCAAAAAAAATGATCCAACTCAAAATATAAACACAGGCTACCGTGTGGCATCAATCATTTTTAAAAAATTATATCCTCAGATAAAACATCTAAGAAAGAAATTATTATCAGAGGACTGTGGTTGAGGGACAATAGGAAAATGTTTCCATATTCACAAAGAAAATAATTTTTAAAGCTTTCAAAAAATAAAACCCAGTTTATATTTCTCCAATAAATTACATGGTCCATATTCTATGTTCATTTTACTATTGGATTTTTTTAAATATATTTTTTTATTGATTTCAGAGAGGAAGGGAGAGGGAGACAGAGTTAGAATTGGCTGCCTCCTGCTCACCCCCTACTGGGGATCGAGCCTGCGACCCGAGCATATGCTATGCCCTTTACCAGAATCGAACCAGGGACCCTTTGGTCCACAGGCTGACGCTCTACCCATTGAGTAAAACCAGCTAGGGCTACTTTTGGATTTTGTTTATTAATTTATATTGTTAACTGTTAATTTATAAGAGCTCCACGTATATTATTAGCTTTTTATCAGTTATATATCCATGAATATTTTTTGGTCTTTTGAATTTATTGTGTTTTTATTTTTATATGGCAAAAATTATCTTCTCTTTAGAATATCATATGTTTGGAAAGGCACTTCCCATAGTTATAATAAAGAAATGTTTTCTTCCATTACCCTTTTTATAAAAGAGAAATTCTCATCTGCCCTTACTACCAAGAAGTGTAATTTCTCACATGAATTAACTTTTTTTCCATAGATGTTAAAACCAAGAAGTTTCCCTTTGCAACGAAAAAAAGCTTAGGTTAAAGTATTTAAATACAGTATATGGCTTAAATTAGGAGTTCATTATATATACTTCATTTTGTCACCAATTCCCTTTCCCCAATCTTTTCTTCAGTTTGCATTTATGCCATCTTGTATTTTATAAATTTATATAAGTTGCCTAAATTCTCTCCTGTAATAACGCAGAATATAAGTAAATTCTCAAAATGCAAAATACATAAAGTAATAAAAATACGAGAAAAAAAATCACACATAATCACAACACCCAAAGGCAACCATTCATTAAAGCTTTGGTATACACTTTTTGTAGCCTTTATCCCATGTATATTATTACATAGCTGAGATTATATTTTGTTAATTCTGCATACATACTAAAACATATTTACCCGTATTATAACTTTTTAGAAATAACATCATTTTATTCCATTACCTGGTAGTCTATCCTACAAACCTGCTACATCTCCCTATTGCTGGACATACTGGACATACACTAATCTGTTACCATTATTTTCCCCATATTTTCACACATTTCAGTTAACATCTTTGCACTTAAAACTCATTTTTCTGCTTTGGAATAATTATTTAAAATTATTCACAAAAGTATGACTACAGCAAAAGATACAGGTAATGTGAAGTTCTTGATAAGAATGATTAAATTGAATTCTCACATAGCTGCAGCAATTTACACTGTAGCAGCAAACTATAAGAGTGCTTGTTAACTACATCTTTACTAAACTTTAATCTTTTCCAAACACATAAAAACTTTCTTAATTTGAAAGATCCAAAGTGCTACTGTGTTTCTTTTATTTTTGTTTGTTGTTTTTCATTAAATCTTTATTGTTCAAAGTATTACATAGGTCCTCCTTTTTCCCTCATTAACCTCTTCCAGCCCACTCCCATCCCCCCCCCACACCCCATTATCTGTGTCCACGGGTTATGCATATATGCATACAAGTTCATTGGTTCATCTCTTCCGACCCACCCTCCCGTCTTCCCTCTGAGGTTCAATAGTCTGTTCATGCTTCTATGTCTCAGAGTCTATTTTTGATCCTCAGTTTATTTTGTTCATTAGATTCCACATATGAGTC